AGACTGAGCCAAAAAGGGTGAATGTTCATGTTAATAAAAACTCGTCCAATTCCTTTTATGCCGAGGATATCCTTTTGTTCTTAAAACTGGAGTTAATAAGGCCCATTTTCAAAGGCGTGAAAAAAAGAAAGAACTATAAAGGGGGAAGGCTCGAATCATTAGCCTTTTCGTTTCCCTCTTTTTCAGTGTTTTTACGGTGATAAAATTGACTTTTCAATCAAATTATTGGCTACTTTTCTCTCTACTCAACGTAGCGACACCGAAATTGACTTGACACGTCAACCTGTTTATTCCTTATAACCTCTACGATTTTCGTTTGGTTTCGCTTTCTTAGGGAGCCGGTGCGACATCTTATGGAGTTGGGCTTTCCATTGGTCCGGCTTTAGGAGGATTTCTTTACTCAGTATGTAAACAGAGCAAGCTTTGTAAATATGAGTGCTTTTTCCAGTTGCTTTTAAAACGTGGTTCCATTATCAAAAAAAAAAAACCCATTAGGGTATGGTGGATTTTCTGTCATAGCTGTTTTGATTTTACAAAACTTTGGAAACCACTACATAATTCAGCTATAACATAAAATAATCGGATTTTACTGGTGGAAAATTTTTTTTACGAAATAAGCGCTTAAGTGGACCTTACTTTTTATCGCGTTTAGTAAAAAATGTTGCTGATATTTTTTTACTAAGATTTATGGTATCGGCTTTTACTGATACAATAAATGATGCCACATTAATTTCAGAGAAATCGTTGGTGCGGAAGTCCGTAACTAGAAAATCCTTTGAAATTTAGCTATGAAATTGAACGAGCCACCAATTCGATTTTTCTAGTTTTCTAATGTTTGCTAATTCTTGAAACTAAGCCGATTATCAATCGTGCTATTATTTAAGAGGTATTTGTACTCTTTAGTATTAGGAGCACTATAAATTGCTCCAAGCCTTGCTCTGAAGCGAATGACTTGTTCCTCAACATTTTTGGGATATCTTCAACAGTTTTGACTGAAACGCCTGCTACATACATTTTTATTACAATGCATCTTCATCGGCTTTTTCTGCTGTGGGTTGCCGCAAATCAGAAAAATAGGTGCGTGTCCTCGCGTTAAGGAGTAAATAGAATGTCTCTGGGCCAAATTTCAGAGCTCTTGCGTCTAATTAAAGAAAGGAAAGTTATTGCAATTTTAAACTGAAGTGGCCGGATACTGGGCAACATACTGTACAGTGAAATCTGTATCAAGAAGACACCCACAGGTACTCACGCCAGAGTCTGCTTAACAAAAATGCTTTCTAAGACAAGTTCGTTTTAAGAGTTCGTAACTTTTCGTGATTTTATATAATAGGCTGTTAGCCTTCTTGTACAGGATGTTTGCTTAACATGGGTTCTTCTTCGTACAGGTTTCTTCGTTGTATTTGTTGGAAATGTCATCATTGCGATATGATGAAATGTTCATATTTTAGGAAAAGGGAAATTATCCTTCTAAAACTCAGGTCACTTTTTACAGCAATCAGTTGAAGGTCAGATCTTTTATAGTCTTATTCTCACACACAGGTTGGTGGCTTTATAGTTCCTTTTATTGTGATGGGTTGTGCTATGATTTTCACAACTCCAGGAGTTTTCCTGTTTTTACGAAGAACAGGTTAGTGAAGAAAACTCTAATCTTCTTTATTTTTCCTTTGAAGAAATCTTTGGCCACCTAGCCACTGCCAAGCAGGCTCTTGGTCAGTGTAGACGAGGGAAAAAAACAAGCATTTTCACGTCGTAGTCGTGCAAAACCGGAAAAGAAATGTACAAAAAAGTGTGACGCACGTGCGAAGTTGTTGTTTTACTTATTGAATTGACCAATTATAGGGTTTACCAGGAGCTGGTATACCGGAATGAGGTCTTGAAAACAATGCTTACAAGCTCCACTTACCCTTCTCTCGCCAGCTCCCCCACGGTTTTCGGGCGACTTTTCTCGATGCGCTTTCCCTACTATCTTAGAGCCTGGAACAGGCTACCCCTTATCAAGATTACGAATGAATATTTTGATGAATTTTTAAGGTGGCTGAACACAGCTTAATGTGCATCTTAAGCTCTCTAACGAAAAAGATTAAAGGACAAGCTGAGAAAAGCTCTAATAGAAGAAATGTCAGTAGAAATTTCTTTTACAAATAGCATGATCTCAGCGCTCATTTGAGTTTTGAGCATGCGTACTTAGGGAGTAATGTAAGAGTATCTTAAAATCTACTCATTACATTTTTATGAAAATTGGCAGAAATCCTTTTCATATCGTACTTCAGCCAATGAAAGCTTCAAAATGAAAGTTAAACGAGGAAGTTCTGCGACACAGTCAAGTTTTATAGGAAAGAAGATCATCGCAGTTGTAGACGCAACTTTTGCAGTTACGAAAAGCTAAAAAAACATTCAGGCTTGTACGGGATTCGAACCCTTGACCTCTGCGATACCAGGTGCAGCGCTCTACCAAATGATCTAACAAAACAACTGGAAGTTTCTTATGAAAGCTACTTCCCTAAAAATGTCAAAAACTATCCGTTATAATGTAGCTTAAACGAGGGTCACTAATTGTAAGCTGTGTGGAAATTTATCCGGAAATCTTAAGACTGGATTTTGCATAAACGTACTAAATTCAAAAATTTACGCTTGTTTTCAGTGATCATCCATGTTCCTAAGGCGACGATCAAAATTCCGCGTTTCATCTAATGAATGTAATATCTTATAAATATATTTTGTCTGTGCAAAATTTGGGCTTTACTAATGAACGGTAACGATCCACAAACTAAAGCCGCAAAGTTCGGAGAGCAAAATGTTTCTAAACTTACCTTCGGAAAATGTTTGGTTGATTTATTTATTTGCGCTAGAAATTTAACACAAGCTGATTTCCACTGCTTTTTTTTGCTGAATCTTGTCTTTTAATGTAAAGCTAGTAGTAAACTATTCGTGGAGTTCACTTGTGTTACCATTTTACTCAGAAAAACAGACCGATGAGAAAACAGCTGAGGAATCAACCACCATCTTCAGGGCATTACGAAATCCTGGTACATTTACATCTGGTATGTACACAGAGTTGTTCTAAATGTAAATATAACTAACAACAATAGATCTTAAAACATTTATGATTAGTACAAGATTTTTTTTTGCCAACCTCAAAGCGCTGTAAAGCAGGACATAGCAATCGAGAGACTTACTTCAACTCTTCATTGAAAATCGCTGTCTTTTGTTTCTAGCGCTTTCATTTGTCGTCAGTGGTTGCTCTTTTGGATATATAGAGCCCATTTTTGAACCCTATATGAAACAGGTAAGCTTTTATTATTATTATTATTATTATTATTATTATTATTATTATTATTATTATCATCATCATCATCATCATCATCATCATCATCATCATTACTATCATCTATTTTTTTATCATTATTTACTTTCTGTCCTTTTGCTCGGTAAGTAATCAAGTTGTTTCTTTCTAATGTTTGTGCGAGCCAATCAAAAGTCAATCAATCAATCAATCAATTTGTTAATGTCACAACGTTGGATACGGTTGCCCCGAGTATCCGAGCCGGAGGTGCCTGTATAAAACGCATGACAATAATAATTGTTACTAACAATACAATACATGACAATAATGTAAAAAGATTAAAAATTTATAGAACAAATTAACAATTAATGAATGAGGCTGAGTATCTTATGAAGAATTATGGAGATCGAGGAGGGTGTTATCATTGTTGTAGTTGTTGTTGTTGTCGTTTTTCGAATCCTCGTGCTTGGAATTAAAATGTACCAGTCGAGGTCACCATCGAGGGAAGAAAGAAATATAATTCGGGAAAATTGTTCCCATAGAAACCGGCGGTCTCTCTGTCTTTAGACTGGTCTCAAACAAATTGTACCAACGTGCCCAGTGTACAAAAGAGGATACTACTTTTGGTTTGCATTATGTAATAAAATAAGGTTAACAGCGTCACTAAATGCACACCGCTGATGTATTTTTGCTATTGAAAGGTGCGTAGTTGTAATAACTTATCCTTTCATGCCACATGCAGCTGGGCGAAAGTACAGTCAACATTGGGCTTATGTTTTTGTTATTTTCTGGGATGTTCACTCTTTCTGCACCTGCAGTTGGCGTTATTGTTGATAAAACGGTGAGTTTCTGTTGTTGTTGTTGCTATTTCTTTGAAAAATTATAAAATAAAAACGTCGGTGGACAGGCTAACTAAGCGTACTCGTCTTATTCACCTCCTTCTCTTGTTAACCCTATTCAGGCTTTTTTTAGAAAATTAAAACAAGCGGCATTATATTTTACAAGCCCAGCATAAACTGGCCATTCAATATACTTTGTTGTTGTTGTTGTTGTTCAATCAAATCCTCGTGTTCTGACTGAAAAACAGCTAAAATACTCTATTTCCTCACACAGGAATTAGACCCTGTTTACATGGAGTGGGGGACCCCGGTCTAGTGAGGTAGGTTTCTTTTGTTTTGTGTCCCCCAGAGCGTGAAAACAAAAGAAACCAAACCCACTAGACCGGGGTCCCCCACTCCATGTAAACAGGCAATTAATTAGTTTGTCAAACAAAAGGTGCCAATCTCGAAGGAATAAATCAAAACAAAAGCATTCACAACAAGTTTAGAAAATGTTTTACATAAAAACTAGTATAATATTCTACCCTGGGTATTGCATGTTATTCATGAAAAGTAAATAAGGTATGGGGAATCGCTCTGGCTTGGGACGAGCCCAAACCAGACGAAGAGCCTGGAGGATGCGCTCCAAAAAGTTGCCCGGATTCCTCGCGGGGTGGGAGGGCGGGTTGCTAGATCTAATCTAAATGGCGGCCTAGAGTAGAGTGGAAGGGGTGGGCCCAACGGGGTCCTTTATATTGATCATTTACATGTCCCCAGGGCATATTATTAATATATGCAAATGACTTTGCATAGTGGGCCCGATCAGTTAACGGAAAAACACGCCTTCTCTCTATCTCGACAAATATTTTTAAATGAAATGGAATTGAAAGAGCATTTGTCCGGCCTTTCGGGAAGAAACTATTAAAACTTGTGTGCTTGATTTTCGGTGCTTCAACTAGCAATAACTGCACTAAACATACTGAAGATAAACCTTTGATAAGTTTTTCCAGCTGACTCACACTATGGAAAAATACAATTAATCCTGGCCTGTTCATTATTACACTTTTTTAGTCTTGTTACTGATTGAAATCGTTCAGTTTAATTCAAGCGCATCTGAAACAGAAAGTGGTACCGCTAGTGACAAGAAAAAACAGTCGAAAATTAAACACTAACATACGAAAAAAAAACCTAAGTCAATTTCAGCGAGTTACTACAGTGAGCCCTGAAGTGCGTTTGTGCACATACCTTCATTTCTCATATAAATTCTTTTTAATTTTTATTAGAAGCGGTACCGAGGCTTCCTTATTTTGGGCTTCACTAGTTTTGGTATTGGATATCTTCTGCTCGGTCCTGCACCGTTTCTGACTTTTCTACCGCAAAGGTTTGTAACGACATGAAGAAAAAGAATACAGATGGGGTAGAATGCAAATAATTTGAATGTTGGAAATATCTGAATGGCGTAACTCTTCATCAGTAAAGAAAAACATTGAAAAAAAAAACAGTTTTGTAGTTGTTACAAAACCAGACAAAACAAGACATTTTTGCCTTTTGACAGATTTTTCAGTTTCTTTTCTATAAACAATATTCTCTTTCAACCAAACAAAATCGTGAACTTCATGTTATGCTGCTAGGTTACAAGAAGAAAACAAGGCTAAATTCAGCAAGTAAATACACACTGCCGGCTCCGCTGTATGGCCAGTACCTCACGCATGCGTACAGCCATATCACCCGAGCAGTGGCAGCCATGGACAGCTGTTTCGCCATTATTAGGCTTCATCAGCATACTGCGGACTTGGCAGTGTGTGCTTACTGTCTGTATTTAGTATTGTTATATGAAAAAAGGCCTTTAATTGAAGAGTTCTAGCTCCCCATTTTTTATGTTTTCACCGCAATTTGAAATTCTTTTGGAACATAAATGATATTTTAGATTAATTGCTAATACTTAATGGCTTCAGATGCTAAAAATATACCAATTTTATAATGGTGATATGTTTCCTCTGAAAAATGTAGTATATTAGCCAGATTAAATGATTATAGAACAGGGTGGATTTGAGTCCTTGTTGAATTAGACAATATATAAGTCGGCGGAGTCTATTACAGAGTCCAACTGAAATTCTAGCAAGTTTATCTCACCAGCTGAGATGTTCAGGCACCATAGCCAGGATTGGCGGTGGTGTTGCTTCCATATTAGAAAACTGTCAATTCAAATTGTAAAGCTATCTCTCTTATCGTGAAATGTGTGTCGCTCTCACCATAATTGATTCTCGAACTCTTGATTTTCAGTTAAGGTTATCAGTGATGTGAAAGTGTCCTAGTTCCAGTTTAGACGGGTAAATGGCGATGGCCAAAATCGATATGTAATGTCATTTGTATTAATAAAATCTTTTCTAGCTTAGTGGAAGAGCATCTGGAGAGAAAGAACCAGAAGGTTGTAGTTTCCATCACACCTGGACCGATTGAAACAAAATATTCTCAAGAAACATCTTGTTTCTTTTTTCTTAAATTTTACAGAAACGTGTTGTTGGTGTGTATCAGCCTGGCTCTTTCTGGTCTCGCGGGAGGAATTTCCTTTGCGCCAATAATGCCAGATTTAATAAGAAAGGCCAGGTACGCGTTTGTTTGCTATTCCTGATGAAAATGAAATAAATGAATGTGTTTTTTATGTTTTAAATAGGATAAATAATTGGCTAGTAGACATTAAATTAGCAATTGATATGACTAAGAATTGGTACTGATTGGCTTTAGAAAAAAATGTCAAAAATTAAGAAAGTTCCTAACATCACCATCAATGAGATTCCTGTAAAGCAGGTTTCCTCAGCAAAGTCACCGGATCTAACCATAGATAAAAAGCTAGTACGAGTATCACGGAAAATAAGCAAAAAATAATGAAAGCTAAGAATTAATATGATTAAGGCAGAATTCGTACTAATTGGCTTTAAACAGAAATTGTCAAATGTCAAGAAAGTTCCTGATATCACTATCAACTATGAGATCCCTGTTTAGCAGGTTACTTCTGCAACGTCACTTAGGCTAACCATTCATTAAAATCTAACTAGGCAAAACCATAATTATAATCTTTAACTCATATCAATTTGCAAACTCGAGCGAGTTGTTTTTCTCTGCACTTTGAACTGTGCATTTTATTTCTAAAATACAACTCTTAGACCAGATTAGTGTGAATATTCTCCATTATGGTCGCCAAGTTCTGTTGTACGAAAGGAAACATTTATTTCTAAATCAATTTTTCTCTACCGTACTTCAGGGATAAATGCTTGCTAACCTGAGTTAAAATGGCAGTAAAAATTGTTCATTTATGTTGTTTTTAATTTATAGGGAACGCGGAATGCCTAACAATTCATCCACAAATGCCGTTCTATCGAGTATTTTTGGGAGCATGTTTTATTTAGGGTAAGTTTTGCATTTTGCCGACACTGTGGGTTTTTTATTCAGCTTGACTTTGCACTTTACGTAAATATAGAAAAAAATATACATTTTGTTGGCAATGGAACGTGGTAACTCAGTCACGTGATCAGCAGCTATGGCATATCTCTTGTAACAAATTGGAATTAGATAGATAGATAATCATTATGTACAAATAGCAATAGCTGTAAATTAAATGTTATATAAAAGGCTTATAAAAGTAATTAGTAGTCGAGCATAATACAACAGTCATCAGCTTCCTGTAAAGCCAAGTTGTGCCAGATAAACCGTGTTAAACATAGTCTTCTTTTTAAAAACGTCCTACATTTAAATTACACCTAAGCTTATATTAGCAACAATAAAGCGTTCTTCAGTATAAAGAAAGACTGACTTATGTGTCCTTGGTAGACAAATCATTATCTTTTTTTGTGTGTCAAACAAGGATAAAAGAATCCGACAACAAACATTTGAGAAACGTACAAAACAGGCGTGGCAAAAGTCAAAATGAAAAACAACAGAATCTCGCAAACAAGCAAAAACAAGCAAAAATTTCGAGTGAACAGTTCATAAAAGCAAGATTACAGTACTTACAGCGCCCTCGCTTGTTTCCATTTCGGAATGTTAGAATGACACAAAATTTTCTTAGGGGACTGGACTTGTAAAACTCCCCAGGGGACCAGGGCTCAGTCACTGGTCCACAACGGTGGAGGACACGGTCCACACTCTTTGATTTTTGGCAGGCAACTCTACCACATTCATACTCCTCACGGTAAGTGTAACCGGAGTTACTTGCGATTGAGCCTAGTTTCCCCCCTCCTTCTCAAGGTCCCCTCGTTGTTGCTTATGCACTGTCCGACAGAAGAATTTCCTAGCAGTAACGTTTTGTTTTTGGGGGACAAAAAGCAAATACTTACTCATGCTTAAAACATCTCTTCATAGCTTATTCTTTTTCATTTTTTCAGCAAATTTACGAGCTATAGATCATGGCGAATAGAACTCTCTCCTTTGTTTCCTGACCTGTTTTCAATTTAAGCCAACACGTTGCTTTTTCAAGGTTATCCAAGTCTTCAACATGTTTTCTTGTTAATTTGTTATTCACAGAGCAACTATTGGGCCAATTATTGCCGGAGTTACTGACGAACACTTAGGTTTCCAGTGGTCAACAAGCGTAAGTTACATTTTGACCAGTAAATCTCGCTCGTCTCTCTTGTACTCAAAGCCCAAAGGCAAAAGCGCGTGATTTGCTGCACAGTGATCAAGGACTTGCCGTTACCGCTATGTGTATACCTGTGTGGTACAGTCTTCTCTCTAGTGCTATTATAGCTCCGTCTTTGCCCATGTTGAAGGCCAGAGTTAAAAGCTAGCTATCTATCCTGATAACATACTACCCAGGTGCAGTGGAACTTCGATTTAACTAAGGACCAACGGACTGACCAAATACGTTCCTTACGTCATAGTCCGAGATAACGAACCAATCAGATTGCTTGAATCACCAAGATCACTGACTGTGTATATACTAATTGACTTTATTTCTTTTTTTTTCCATAGATCGCAGGCTTTATCTGTTTTGGTCACGTAAGCAATTCGTATTTTACCTTATTAGTTCAATTTTTTTTTCTGTACACTTATAGATTATTCAATAAATTACAAATCAATAGATTCCGTTGATGAATAAATAAAACGAAAAAATAAATTTATTATATTCCCTCATTTTGAAATCACTGGTGATCCCTGCAATCTGACTGACTCTCAGCAGTGTGATTTATTCACGAATCACACTATTTTTTGCTCTAAATCAAAGATGTTCTAAATCCCGTCGTTCATTTCTAAATTACGTCATTTCTGTTTTAAATTGCACCATTTTCGCTCAAAATCGCATCATTTCAATTACAAAATGAGATGTAAAAACCTTCTTGTTCCCACTTTTCAACAAACCGTTAACATATTTGCTTCTTAATTCTTTCAGGCGCTGCTGTTGTTAATATGTACGGTGTATCAAGATTTACCTTTCTCTGATTGGTTAGTAATAATTACAAATCATTTGTTTGGGAGACTAACAGATATCATACATACATCTGACATGCATTCATGACTTTATTTTATCCCGAAGTTACAGAGTGGCTCAAAAGCTAATATATTCGACAAAAGAAAAAAAATTACAAATAATGAAATAACATTATTAAGTACCAATTATATATCTATTAATGCTAAGTGCTATGAAAGGAGATGGTTCGTATAAGACGTTTAAAACAAGCCAGAGTGGACTCCGTTCTAATTTTCTCAGGTATAGAGTTCCAAGTTGGGCGTGTTTAAAACACGAAATGGCGAAATGACGAGATGACTTCTCTAAACAGTAAAAATAAGTGAATCCCTCAGGAGCCCACTCCCTGCTTTTTTGTCGTGTCCAGTTGTTATTTCTTTGCCTTCTATGAACAGGCAAAACTCTGCTCAGCATGCAAAACCTCACTAATCTTGTTGTTGTCACTTTCTGTTCGTGACTTATCGCAGTCACGTGATTTTTCTCGTGATTTTTCAAGGGTCTCTCCTCTTCCCAGGGGCTTCTCGGTTTTCACAATGGTGTCAGTTTCTGCCCCTCCGGGGGGGGGGGGGAGAAGGGGTGGTACTCGAGCAATATTCGGGTGTAAGTGGACCGCTGAGGGTTTGAAATCTGACCCAGTTTAGGACAAAAAATCCTTTAATACGTGCCCTGTTTAGGACAACACTCTCAATTTTATTACATATTGTTTAGGACAAAGGACAAAGTGCACGTCGTCTTGTTAAAGAAAATTCACTTTAGAGTTATTGCCTTTGTATTCTTGGAGTGAAAACAAATTTCATCGAGCAAATTAGACCAATCGTGCAGGTGATACCCTGTTCATAATTAGGACATACTCGCACAAAATTATAAACCCTGTTTATTCGCGCTTGTAGAACCGTTAGCAATTTTTTTTTGGATTTGGACTTTCTAATCCTTCATCTTCACAAACGTTTCCCCACGGACGAGCTATTTACTGCGCGGGTGATAAGCTTGCGCGCGCACATCACGCAAGCTCTGCGTGACAACAATCTCGTCACCAGAGCCTTCATATCAGATTATGGCTGCGCAATAGTATAGAATGCGCGTGACAACTCCACCTAAATAGTAGTGGGGAGGAAACCAGTAAAAGAAAAATATGTATTATTTCTTAATAATTTTAGTCATTCCGATGATTCGTCATTTCGTCATTTCGACATTTCGGCATTTCGTGTTTTAAACACGCCCCTATTAGCCAAGACTAATATGAAACCCTCGGTTTAATTCTTGGTTTGCAACCACATGACAAGGCGGCCATGTTGAAGGTCAAAACAATAGAACTTTTCTCGAAAAATTTACATGAAAATAGAGTTTAGTTCCCAGAGGAGAAAAATGTGTTTGTTCTTGACCGCCAACATGGCCGCCGTGACGTCACGCTCAGCAGGAGACGATGCCTCTTTCTCCTCTTTGGAGCTCTCTTATTTAAGGAGTCCTTTTGACTCGGAACAGAAGAACGAACTTAAAATATTTTTTCCTTTACGTGACAAGAAATGTTCAGATGGAATTATTTCGTACTAACTGGGGAGACAAGAATGGTACCAACAACTATTAACGAACCATGGCATCAACGGCAGAATCCTTTGAAAAAACTGCAAGGGTTTTTCAGGCTAACTGTTATTCAAAATTCGTCTGCAAGTGTTCCACCAGAGTGGCAGTCACATTTTCACCGAGGTGAAACAACTGCTGTGCTTTTTGTTTTAATTAGTGGGATTCCATTAACACTTATGTTAAGAGGAGAATGGCCAAGTTGTATAAAATTAAATTAGTTAAGCAACAATCTTTTAATTTCTCTCATAATCTTCTTAAAAGATGCCTCGTGCTCAGGCAAGATTACGTTGAGAAATGGCAAGGACAATTCAGTAGTTTCAGTTTCAGTTTCAGCGTGGGCTGTAAAAGTCTTTTGATGTGGCTGTTTTGGCTCAAATTGTGCTCGAATGGATCCAGGAGGGGCTGAATCAGACTTTAGCTTGCAGGGTCGAATTGGCACTTCCTTTTCTTTGTAACGTATAGTAAAAAAATTAAACTTTATTTCAGGGTGGCCCATCCATCTCGGGGGCTGGTCTCCATAAAAACAAAAACAAACCGCAAAAATATAAAAACACGTTTTGAACCGATGAAATGGAATTCGCATTAGCTCCTTTCTTATAGCTTTTACAAATTTCCCATTAATTGTTTGACCGCAGATAAGACAGCACTGCTGATCCTAATTAAGGATCATTGCATTGTAACATATAGACGAAAATAATATCACATCTCCTAATAGTAGTTCCTTATATGTTTTCAGGGTTAGAGATAATAACTCTGGTCTTGCTGAGGAAGAGGAAAAGCGTATGCTTGGAAACTCTAGATCCTAATGGGAGCCACATAAGCAGGAAAAAATACGAACCTCCTTATTATGTTAAGGTGCTTATGTTTCTAGTAAGCCCCGTTCACAGTCTCCGTTTTTGTTTTCTCTTGTTTGGCCTACCGTCCGGTGAAAACGGTCACGTAAAACGCTTCTTTACAAGAACTCTCGCCAAACTTGCAATTTTTTTTAAAAAAACGGCATTTTACTGTATTTGTTTAAATGGATGAAAACGGAGGATTCAGACTATCTATTTTTTCATTATTCTAGTGGAGTGCCTGTAACTGAGTGCACTTTCCTTCATGTCAGAAAACGAATATTGAAAGGAAATAAACCATAATAATATGCAATTTTCATACAGTAGCCCGACAAACAATCCCTATATTGAACTAGAGTACCTCAAATTTATTGACATAAAAGGAGGTTTTAAAATTTGGTGCGCTCTATACTACCAGCAAGAGGGTGAAAGGAATCTAATTTTTTCCCTTTGAAATCTTAAGAGAAACAAAAATTTCCGTGTATGAATAAATTGTTTGTCCGGGAGGTAGGGACGTTTTGCTTAACCCAGTGGACAGAAAAGGTTTAGATGATGGATTTTGATAGATTATTGCACCCTCCTTTTGTCTAGGTAGTTCGTGGTTTCAAATTGTGGTTTACGTTTTTAGAAGTCGACAACTTTGAAAATGAATTTAACATGAAAGCGAGGCAGAAAGTTGAAACTAAATAAATTAATCCTAAGAAACGCGCAAGAAAACCAACATGCTCAGATATCTCCTTAGATTTCTCCAAGATACCTTGTAACAAGAGTACCGCTTTTTTAGTAGGGAGCGATATGATAGATACCGTCCCCTTCTGAGGTGTGTCACTGTATCTTTGTTCAACGAGTGATGTAATCTTCAAAGTTTTTTTTATGGATTATGCCGAGCGTTCTTCGTGTTTAACGATCCATTTCCATACAAAAGAAATTTACTTATTCCTAATTGTTCCATTTTTTAAAGCCTCCACTAAGTGTTTACACTTTAAAAAGTCCCTCTGCGGACGTTTCCCAAAGACAATGACGTCATCTTAATAAATCAAGCAGGTCGCAAACTAAGTCCTGACAAGATCAGTGTAATTTCTCATTTTCTCACTGCCGCTATGAAATTTTCATGTTTTTCTTTCGACGAAATTCATCTCCTTTGTTTTCAATCACTCGCTCTAGTAGCCTGAATTTCATCCGATTGCTTCGAGTTTTCATCAGCCGAACCTAATTTGAATTAAGGCTGACCCAAATTATTAAGACCGGCTGAAGTGATTCAGACGCCGATGTTAATTGCAGATGAACTAAGTTCAAAAGCGAAAATGCCCATTTCGGGCAAACTGCTTACAAATACGTTATAATAATTATGCATTAGGTTCGGTACATGAAAAGTTCGGCGTCTGAATCAAAGCCGTTCCAAAGTCGCTCCAAAGGCGAAATTCCCGGCCAGGCTGGGCGAAAAGAACTGCTGAGCCGTTCCAAATTGAAACAGGCGTTCCTAATTGATTCAGACGCCGAACTTTTCGTGTACTTCATTCAATGTATTAGGTTCGGCTCATGAAAAGTTCGGCGTCTGAACCGGGCCTTAGTTAAATACTTTGAAGTCAGTATTAGATAATAATAGGAGACACAATGAGCTACAATGAAACAGACAGACTTAAACTAACGTGGTATCTATCTAGAAGTGTTTGTTTATTACGGATTAGAGGTTTAGATAACCACTACCACTGGCTCGGGCCTCTAATGTGCTAAAAAATAATTCTCAAAATAAATACTTCCCAGTAAAACTTAAGCGAGTTAAAAATTATCACAAGTAACATTCCGTGACACCAATATAATTAGTGAGCATGTCAAATTCCCTTAATATTTAAAAGAAAATTTACAGTGAAGAAAACCTGATTACATCTTACAAAGCTTTACTGATTTATTCGAATCTTAAATTTCAAATGTTCATAAACCTTTTAAAGACGCTTTTCTAAAAATCACCAAGATTCCTGACTAAGTCAGACATTTATGAACATTGGCATCTAGAAAAGTGGAATTTATTTCATACTTGACGATTCAGCAATAATGCAACTCTTGAAAAAATATACCATTATAGAAATCACAGCCTGCAAATAATAGATGTTCACATTATGAAAAGATATGGTAAATACAGTGAGAAATACGAAACAATCGTCAATGGCACAGGCCTCCCAGTAAAAAAAAAAGAATTCGAAGGGTTCTCCTAACAACATGTAACAAGAGTCTACCCTGTGTACAGCCGCCCCCTCTCCCATCCAACAAAATCGGGGAAAGGGACCGTCTCTCCGATTTTAGGGATATATTTTTTAAGATACCACGACTGCGACATCAACGAGAACGTCAAAAAAACAATATGTTGAATAGGCAGAAAAACAACTTTGCAAGTGCATAACGCTTTTTTGTACATTTCTTTACCGTCACTACATGACTATGACGTGAAAATGCCTAATATCACGTTTTACGGAGGACATAAACAAGCGACGACGAAATTTTCTTCCTCTATCTGAACTTGGATATGGTTGTTTGGAATTCGGCTCCAAGAGAGATCGCTTGCATTTGACAAAGTAAGCGAGTTGAAATAATCGCCATAGAGGTAGCCTGCGTGGCAGGCGTTTGAAAGGGAAGGGAAAGGGAGCTTTGTGAAAGGGAGTTTTAGGCGCGAGAGAACGCGAGGGGCGCGCGAGGAAGGAGGGAGGGAAACGCCTGCCTCCTCCCTCGCGCGTGGTCTCGCGCCCTAATTCCCTTTCCCTTCCCTTTCGAACGCCTGCCACGCAGGCTACCATAGAGGTATAAAGAACGCGAATTCACTTTTTAGGAGACGTTTTCGTGGCCGTCGTCGTTGTGGTATCTTAAACTCCCTAATTGTTGGGGGAAGAAACCGGCTGAACACATGGGCTTCAAGAGTCGAGCCGTATAGACCGTCCAAATTAGTCATTGAAAGTTCGTGATTTAGACTCCACAGTCTCTTACAGTACGGAAACCAGTACGGGTACCAAGTTGCTTGCAGCACTTGCGATTATTTCAGTTTTCTTTCTTAAACGTACTAAACGCTTACAACGGGAGGTAATTTCCATCAAAAAGAAATAAAACGCTTTACAGCCTGTAGTTATTTACACCATACATCGTCTTTGATAATACGTTAGTCCTAGGGCAATACATTGAAGAATTGATTAGGACGTTGGTTAAAACTCCAGCATGTTCAACATGCTCCAAGATTCTGCGCATTAACAAATAGGAAAATAGCCATCTTTTAACCACATCGATTACTCGCGATAAATTGTCAAGTGGTAACAAACAGAGGAACTATTTGCTTTCAAAAACGTAAAAATTTGTCGCGTTTGTGATCGATAATACACGCAAGAAAAACTTGTCACCAAAATGCAACCGGCACTTTCGGTTAACAAATTGAAAGTAATGTATTGCGCACATAAAAGCAATTACTTCCTGTATTTTTCCTTTTTCACAATTCCCACTACAAAAAACCGCATAAATACCCCCGTTTGAGATAGATTAGTCGCCTGAAAAATAAGCAAATCTTTCAAATAAAATACAATGAAATCAGAAATGAACGTTAGAATTGTTTTGTAAAACAAAAGTGAGATCTAATATAAATTTCTACCGGCGTTGAGTCATTACAATTATTACTTCCTCGTTCACGGGACATAACTTGCTCGAAACAAGCCTTCCTTTTTTACTTTGTCCAATTCCGAACGTACAGCAGTCCAGCATCTGATTAACTCATAGTTCCCCTCCACAAACTATGATCTTCTGCTAAGCTATCCTGCGTCTGCTATATAACTCCAAGGCTCATTCTCAAATGTTCGTACACGACATAGCTAATACTAACGGCGGGCGCAACTTTCATAAAGTTAGGTGCCAGACCTCTATAAAGTCCACGCGGACCATCTTCTTGCAATATTCTTTTAAAGACAGATACCATGTTATCTCCCCCGGTGGCATCTTTAGATCGCGCTGTTAAGATCAATCAATCAATAAATAAATATTCGGTTAATATGGCTTTTAGTCTACAGGACATTGTGCACACGATGAAAAGTAAGGTGCCTAAGAGAAATGCCTGGCTAGCCTCCTGCGGAGGGTTTTTTAAGGGGGGTCTTATTTCAGTGGGGAGGGAGATAATTCGAATCCCCTAAAAACACCTGCGTGAGAGGCTGCTGAGTGGTAGGTATATAAAAAAAAGTGTGACGAGAGATAAACGATTCACGCGCGAGTACGACACGCAAGAAGGGCGAGGTCAGCGCGCGTCCTCCTCCATTGCGGCCCGATCTTATTTGCGTCCTAAATTGCTCATGTGCCTACTATAAACGATGTCAAGAACGTAAATCTGGGACAGCGGGAGTGTCCAGAGCCCCAGTTTTTCAAACGATGGATAGCGCTATCCACTGGATAAAGATAATTATCTAGCGGATAAGTATTTGGAACATCAATTGCGTTATCCACTGGATAGAGATTTATCCCCCTGTTAAACAACTGGGGCCTGGAGACAAGAACAAATTTGTGAGTCTTAAAAGCTGTTTCTCTATCTCAGAAGATTAGACTTCATGACCGCTGAACACAGGAACTGAAGACGCACTTTTAAAGGGTTAGCCTTGACAGTATCCGTCGTTAAAGAGTTGACTGTATCATTATCTTCAACATTCATCGTTGTAAAGAAAGCTGACAGCAAGAAAGGAAACAAAGTGATGGGGTAATGTGAATACTTTACCTTGAGCTTGTAATTTAGTCCTAACCAGTGACAGAGGATAGCTAGCTAATTGTCCACAGGTGCTTGACGCTGTACCACAAGCTAACAGCACAAACACTCCTGGATCAGCTGACTGGTTCTTGTGGTAATTTAAGTAAAGGTTTTTAAGAGTCTGCAAAGCAAAATTTAAAACAATGGATTGGTATGCCAGTCACAATCATCTTTACTGCCTAACACGTAAGTTTGGGAATTTCTAGTCTGCGCCACAGATAAAATGAAACCTTTGGTTAGGTACGTCCGCGAGTCAGCGCTGAAATCCTTCTTCTGGATCCTCACATGTGTACCAGGATTTGAGTACACAACGTGATTGGCCTGTTAAAAAAGCCATTGTCATTTTGCCAATCAGGATGAAAGGAAATTCGAAACGTATTTCCGGTAATTCTTTCGTTGGTCCGTTGGGAGCTAAGAACAAGGATTTGGCGCTGCTTCGCCAACGTTACCTGCTGGGATTAGATTACGTCTACGACGCACAGGCTAGAGAATTTAAAGCCATTTCCAGTTTTACTGAATGTGCTCCGTTGTTAACCCTTTAAACCCTAATATCAAAACTGAGATTCTCATTTACAGTCCCCATACTTTGTCAACAGAAATAGTGGGGAGAATTTGTTGAAACATCAATAAGACTCATCTTCCCTGATCACGACCTCAATTCTCACGACCACTCTGTTTTCTAAAGCATTGATATTATAAGGAGAAATTTCATGCTGATCACTCTTAGGGCTTAAAGGGTTAAATTAGTATGAGAACTATGGACAATCATCGCAATAAAAGAAAACTATTGTTCTTAAAGTGGGTTAACCCTTAAGGATTTATAAAGTAAATCTTAAGCAAAGTTGTAATAATAACTGTGTTACATAGCAGTATGGGCTGTAATTGCAACCTGATTCCGACAATTACAAGCAAAGGGAATGATGCTTATTCAGTTGTGACGCAGGCGACTCGAAGGAAAAAACTTAGAAACAGGTTTGATCAGTACACACTCACTGGTCCATTTACAAAAGCAGAGACTACATTACTGCACCTCAACGTTCTACAAACGACCTGCTCCCGGCTGGCTTAGCTCAATTGACAGAGCGCGGCACCGGTATCACAGAGGTCAAGGGTTCGAATCCCGTAGAAGCCTGAATGTTTTTTTCAGGCTTTCTTTTCGCAACTGCAAAAGTTGCGTCTATAACTGCGATGATCTTCTTTCATATAATACTTCTACAAACAGTCAAACAACTACACCAAAGCTATCTACGGAACAAAATTTGATGGGCGTGACCACTGTGTGAGTAGCAAGGGCGTCATCACTGTCATGGCGCCCTGTACATGTCCTTAGGAAATGGCGTGAACAAAAGTTTTACCAAACTTCACAGTGGTGATGAAGCCGTCAAGTAGAGATAACCTAAAGGCTAGTTTCCGATTTGGGATAATAAAATACTGGCCTCTGCTAGTTTGTACAGATGGCCATTATGTGGAGGTTTCAGGAGCAGAAAATTAATAAGCTGGTGGCCAGGGTAAAATTTTCATTTTCGTTTCAAGCTCTTGGGTATAAAGATAAGGCGTTTGATAAAGTATGGCCTTCCCATGTAAAATAACAGATATGAAGCCTTACCTCGTATATAGCAAGATCTATCCCAGCATAAGGAATAATTCCTAGAAGACTTGGAAACAATCCTCGATAAAAGCTCCTAACTCCTTCAGTTGTTAATATCACATACGCTGCATGAAAGAGTCCTCTGTATTGACCAGTCCTACGAAGAGCTAACCTTGTTTTTAACACCTACAAACACAAGACAACAAAAATAATTTTTTCCTTTTTCTGAAAGGTTCTTTCTTTTTTAATTTTGGTAAATATATGAAGGGAAACCCGTAATGAGCGAACCTGCTAATAAGCGGACACCCTCTAATAAGTGTTGGATGTATACAGTGTAGCTCAGTATGTTTCACACGTGTGTTCTCGTTTTTATGTAAAACGAACCTTTATAAAGTCAGCAAAGACACCTTAATTAAGGGGAAGACAGCAAACTCGTCCATTATCTGTCAAGTCTAAAACAATCAGCTACATTGAAACATGTCGCCTCCAAAAAGAGCAATTTCTCCTCACTGCTCGCCACTTGGGACGCCATAAAATATCCTTTATTACTACTAATACTTCAGTCAAAAAAAAAAAAACAATAAAACTAAGAGTATTAAACGTCATAAGGGAATACTACCTCAAGTGGATATATAGATGTTTGTGAAGCTACACCGGCCATGGCACCAGCTGTTAGTCTTTCACTCACACCAAGCTGTTTATCATCCGCACCTAACAGTTTCTTTGCCTGAACAAATGACATTTCAAAACAAGGCAATAATGATTTTGAAAAGGGAGCTAAAATGTAAATCACCAGGGGTTTAGTTTTTGTTGTTCAACCTTCCACAGTTTCAAGAGGTCATTTTTCTTATTTCAAAGAATTCCATGGCCAGTTGGTGAGGGCTGAAATTGTCTAAATTTGCACTACCTAAGATTTAAATGTAGATTAAACTTCAACTAAAGTGGTTTTAATTTTTATGTTGCTGTTCTTGAGTTCGTGCCTTTTTGACAAACAGTAAGACGACTGTATCAACTAAGGCTTAGAATGCTTTGATGATCCTTGACCATCCAACATAGCTATTTTATTTTTGGCCCGTAACAGTTCCTCCCCCCATGAGAGATAGACCACCACACCACGGACTACGTCCCCTACTCTTTACGAACAGTGTGTGAGTTCTTTAACGTCCCACAGAATTTATATATGCAAGGAATGTGAGACAGGGCCTACGGTTTATCGTCCTTATCCAAGAAGACTAGGAAGTCTAACCGTTTGCAGATGTCTTTACAAAGGCAGCACTTTCTTCTCAGTTATTTAAAGACCCTGAGTGTTGGTCCAGCCGGGACTTGAACCAGCGGCCTCCAGCTCGGCAGCCCAGCAATTACCCAACTGAGCTAACCGGGTGGCGGTTGACTAACTGCCAACAGCCAACATTGCAGCAATTCTAGTGAATTTCTTTAATACTGACACTCCAAGACTGAATGATAAGTCTTGAAGAAGCCTCTACAAAATCCTATGGTGTTACCATTCAAATGAATTCCCGTCAGCAGTATTTTCACATGGTACTACCGTATTTCCTCAAATAATAGCCGTCCCTCGTTTAATAGCCTCCCTTTGATGGATACGTTTAAAATAATCGCCCCTACCCCACCCCTGTAGGTTACTCGCTAGGGATACCCATGGTGGTAGACTTGGAGGATACAGCAAAAGTGGAGTCTGATCCAGCAAAACTGATCAGAGACAATTCAAGCTCTGACACCGAGGACATTGACATTGAAAATTAATCAAGGAACCAAATTTGGAACACTTTAAATGTCAATGTTCAGTTTGTTTGATGTGATTATTTTTTAATTTAATGGAAAAATAGAACAAAGTATTTAGGGCACGACTCAGAGTGAGCACTATTTGAAATAATCGCCTCCCCCTAATGATCGTCTTCCCATGAATATATCGCCCCTTTTGGTGCGAAAAAAGAAACAATCACCCCCTGCTACTATTCAAGGAAAGACAGTATTTGTTTTTCAGCATTTTACAAAATGGAATTTGAAAATTTTGTCAAATTTTCACTTTGCTCACTTCTGTGCTTAAAAGGGTTAAGAGCATTTACCTTTTCATAAGCAAAAAATTTTATAGCTGATTCTGGTGCAATTTTAACTACGTTGGCACCATTTCCTCTCCATAAAGACTTGACACCTCCTTCTTTTACCATCATCTTGAAACCAGAGGTGATTCCTATTCTGTTCTGACTTGACGCTTGTACCTAGGATGTAAATAGCAAGTTTAGCTTACATAGCATAAAACCATTGATGATGTAGTTTGATTACACATATTGGTGGAATAACACTATAAATTTACTATTGCAATAGAATGTCAACAGTATTTTTTGTCAGTAGTATCACTTCTATCATACTAATCAGTGATTGCAATAATAATTTACTTCAGCTATGGTGATACTATTGCAATATATTGGTCAAAATGACCTTAATAAGTAAATTATGCATTTATAACCTCATAGATAGAAAAAATGTGGAAAATGTAGATCCATGCATAACCTGAGATCAGGCCCAATTTGAGCGGTTCTCATACATTCTCTCTAACGGCTACCGCTGAAATTGGGGCTCTCTTTTCGTTTCGCCATGCCCGCCAGAATGTTATTTACAAAGCGAAATGAAAATAGAGCCTGATCTCAGGTTAATCCATGCAGTAAAAGTGTATCCTTACCTGTAATAAAACTTTTAATCTATCCAAAGGTGCCGTAGCTGTCCTGGATACTGCAGTTTAAAAACAAAACAAATTCTGCTAAAATTTAAAAACAAACTCACATATTGTCTGATGTCATCCTTTTAGTCAAATAAACCAGAAACGTTATCAGACATACATTAATTGAATTTTTTGCCATTACTATGCAAACATTCAGCAAGAGAGTAATAGTCTTTAGCAGTATTTAATCTGCTCAGACACCATGTCCAAATGCAGGCAGGATCTAGTCAGACCTGGGAAAATTTTAGGGGCACATAGTCCAATAAATGACTGTTATTTGCAGCTCTGCAGTTAAGTGGGACAAAGCAGGGAAATTTCTACTCAAAAACAAACATCAGATTGCCAATAAATTCTGCAAAAATTACATGCAAGTGGTAGCTATATATTTCAGTAAATGGCTTGAACCCAAGAGTCATGTCATAAGTGAAGTAATAAGATTGGCTGGGTGAGTACAGTCTTGAAGAGGACTTGTGTTGTCAGTGACTGATGTTTTGCCAACCTGTGTGGCAGTCATCTTCAGTTTAAAAGGGCTTTGACACAGCTGAAGATCATTACCACACAGGTTGCCAAAACTTTAGTCACTATCTGACAACAGGCCTATTCAGGACTACACCCACCTGGAAAATCACATTCTACTTGCTTATTCTTTACTCTTGTCAACAAAGGTGCAAAAACCTTGACATTGCTTCAAATACATAAAGCACCTCATTAAAATATGTGGAAATAAAAACCACTGTACCAACCTACTCCAGCACCACCACCTGCAACAAGCTGCCTCCACCACATCCCTGATACTTTCTCTTCCTCTGTGAACTCATCTGGGACAGTCATGTCCTCCCCAATATCAATAACCTATAAATTAAAACATCAAGCAATATTATTTAACTTTTACCCACTTCAAAAAGTCATCATTTTACCAAATATGTTTTCGGAAAGTAATATAATTTGCTGGACCAAACTTAATCATATTAAATTCAGTAGAACATGGCTAGCTCAAACTCCCAAGGGAAACAAAAAAACTATGACTTAGTAAGGGTGTAAGTTCAGCATACTACATTTTACTGAAAATACCACCAAAGAGAGTACATGTAATATTAGTTTGAGTTATTAAACCATTTTCAAGTTTTTGGGGCTCCACAGCAATAATGCATCTAACCATGGAAAAAATGGAGATAACAAGAAGTATAACAACAAAGTAGGGTGAAGAAGCCCACGAGTTGTTCTTATCAAAGAATCATCCAGAGAAAGTATATCTAAAGAGCAAAAAGAACAAAAGTAAAGCACAGTCACTTTCGTGAATGATTCAAAATCTAATACCTTAGTTAAAAACTAATCATGCCATAACTTACAGTATGATGTCTCCAAAACTGAATAATATCATGCATACTATGTCCGCTGGGATTCAACAAGTGATATTCCCTCCATTCATTCCAGTTTACTTTTAAGGTTTTGTCCCTGTCCATGCTGAAGGTTTGGAAAAAAAAGGATTAAAATTAATGTAATGTGCTTTTAGGAACTAAAACACTAATTTAACTCTAAATCAAAGTAATTTGCAATCTCAGTAAGAAAACTTAAGAACTGCACATTGTTTTCTGGTCACTTTGAACAGAAATTACAAGAAACAAACCACAAGGATACATATACATGTAGGAGCTTCTGACACATTATAAAAATCAAATCAGACAATAAAATATTATAACAGAAACATGACATCTTTTACTAGGACATATTGCCAGATGGTCGCAGTTCTTCCAGGCATAGCTTTTTTTTGTTGTTGGCCAATTACAACCCCCAAAAAAGGTGCTTAATTTAATCTAATATATCCTGTGTGAGTTACAAATTGCTCAAATTGTGCCTTTTTATGCAAATAACATTGCTCTTTTTCTGTCAGTCACTCTTATGGTAACAATCTGAAACCATACTCCTATTTGAAAGGAGTATATGCCATTTCCATAGAATGCATCTAAAAGCTTAACATCTTCAAGGCTGTGCTCTAACAGTGCCTGGAAGGCCCCTGGCGTCCAACTTTTGCTCTCGGATGAGTACAAAATCACAGTTTTTGCATAGAAATCATATGCTGGGCACCCTGAATCTCACAGCATCAGGGTGCACAGCCTTGACCTTGCAGCTGTAATCTACCTTTTCAACAGCAGGCCTACTTCCTTGTCGGTCACATGAACATTCATCTTCTCAAAGGCCTTCTTGAGCTCTGTAGCATCCACACTTCCTGGAAGGGCAATCAAGGACAGACAGTCAGTTTCAGTCTACATCTGATTAGCATTTGAAGAAAATACAAAGATCATATAGACAGAGAACACGGAGAAGAGTGTAACTGAGTTTGTCATACCACTGCCATCTTGATCAATAGATTTGAACACAATCCACAGCTTCTTCTGGTGATCTGTCACATACTTGACAAACTCTTCAAATGACATGTGTCCATCAAGGTTCTGATCACCAAGTGTCATAATTTGCTACAAGGGTGAAGCACGCCACAAAAGCTACTTTAGAATGCACCTCTTGTACTATTACTTCCTCTTAAGAAACATTTTCAATAACTCACTATCATTACAAATAACAGTCCTTGGTACAGTGAAAGTATTGCCTGGTTTCTTTGGATTTCTACCATTCAGTTTCATAAACATGCTTACTAATTGTACTAATCGCCCAAACTAAACCGCATGCTGCACTGCGACTACATTTTGCTAATGACCCAATACTTTTCGGTCTAGTTTGTGACTTTGAATGATTGACATTGTCACATAACATTGGCCAGAAGTAGCGATGATTGTAGCAATACATAACCCTGATTTCTCGTTTTCTGTACACCGTTCATATTTCAAGTTTTATTGAAAATCACCAGAATGTTTGTTAATTTAGTTCCTAGTAATCCCTTTATCATAATGTATCCATTCTATGTAACCTCATTTTTTCTTTCTTACCATGAGCTATCATAAAATGTAATAATTTTTTCTCTAATGGTAAAGGTTGTTGTTGTTGTGGTTGTTAATGTTGTTGTAGCATGTACAGTTGTGTACCATAGCCAATGCTTTACTCAAAAATACAAATGTAGCAGTAGAGTAAAGACTAAAAGTTCTGAACCCAAAATGAACAACTTTTTGCGTGATTATAATATTACTCTTCACTCCTAGCGCATGGTATCAACTAATGGTGAGATTTGTCACACTATTAAACGTTTAGATCTGTGGAAGAAATCCTATGGTGTTACCAAATTAAAAACAATGAAACCTCTTTAGGACCTTTGGTAAATAAGAACCCTTACACCGTACCATTTGTTTCAAAGGATTTTACAACAAGAAATTTGATATATACAAATTTTTTCTTGGTACATTTTTTTCTTTGACCAGTATTAGGAATGAAAGGATTAATATCACTTCCTTCTGGAACCGACTTAAAACGGTTTAACCCTAAAGGTATTAAACATTAACATTTGTAATACTATAAAACGATGCTCTTTCTGTAAAATTTAAATGTTAATTGCTGGAATCCTAGCGTGAAGTTCAAGCCAAGCGTATCCGGGTAAATATGGATTTTGTAAAACATTTCTGGGGCTCGACTATACTGTAAAAAATGTTTAATTTCCTAAGAGTATATATAATAATTGCTGTTGGCTATGTCCGAAAAAAAAGCAATAAACATATTCCTTTGGAATTTTCTCCTTCAGTAAAGATTGCATGCAAAACGGATATTGCAATTTATGCAAAATTAAGTTAAGAAACAAGCTTACAATGCATAAAAATGCTTCACACTCAAAAGCAAAACAATATATTTTCGTGATAAAATAAAAGACTTTCAAGTATATTGCAAATCTACAGTCAAACTCAGAGGTCACCTTTGTTCAGTCTTACTACTCATGGGAAAGAATACACGCAACAAAGGGAGTAATAAATGAGAAAAGGAAGCTTTAACCTAGCTGTGATATCACTGCCGTGTTTCATACAAACCTGAGCTTGCCCAGCTTTATATCTCGATCCATGCAGATGCTTTAGACCTTCTGCAAGCTCGTTAACGTCTATCCTTCCATCGTTGTTTTTATCAAGCTTCTTAAATAAATCCTCTACTTCTTCTCTATCCATCTGGTAGCTGTCTCCGTCGTGTTTTCCTTTATCTACATCATCTGCATCTAAGTCCATGTTTACCACTGTGGAACCATGATGGCGGTGTTGAGGTTCAAGCTCTGTGGCCAGGCCTTGACGCATTATTTTCGACGAAGAAATTGTATCCTCATGTACTTACAGCCTATCCATGCTGCATTTTACACAAAAGACAAGAAAGAAACTCTTCCCTGCCGTGTAAAATGAACCTTCGCAGAAGTTACAGCTACACGTTCGCTTTCCATTGTTCTGGGGTGAAAGTTCTCACCAAAAGTCAGTGCATTAGAAAAGAAAGCCGCTGCTCAAAAACCATGCACACAAAAAAGGACCATAGGTCAACCATGTCCGCCGGAAGGAATATTTTTCTATGCCTTTAATAAGCTCTTTTGTTTTTATTTTACGAGTGATGCGGAGAAGGAAACAACAGTAAAGGATGATTTTACCCGGGGATTTTACACTTCTTCTCCAAACCTCGAAAATCTCGAAAGTCTCGAGTGTGTGACACCACCGGCTGGACCAGACAGCACCCGGAGTGATTTGGGCAGTGGCCAAAAAAAATTGACAGGTGCGGGGGAAGCGTTAAAAAATTGTTTTTATTGAGGGGGGCAAGCTTATTTTCGTGACGCTATGATCGACTATTTTTGCTGCCGTGAATAGTGATGTACTGAAAAACTGCTCTGTGAATCGTGATTGAAGTGCACTCCGTGAAACCTTAACTGCCAAAATTTTCTACTGTTTACAAGTACATTGAAGATCAATCGAAGAAAATAACTCGTTAATTTGGCCAAACGACCTTAACTAGCATCTGGTGGCTTGTTTAACTTCACTTTCGAGTCTTTTGATGTAACTTCACACTTCAGTGCACTCAGACTCACCGTAAAGCTGGCTTCCCTAGGGAATTTATAGCCGCGCAGTGTTTTTCATAAGGTTCGTAAAACTCTAGTTAACTTGTTTAAATATCCATCGAAGCACTCTGTTTTACAAAATGGGACTACGGTAATGTAACGTTTTTGACATTTTGTATGACCTCTATTTTTGAGAAGCGTGAAAACGTAAATATTTGTTTCGTGACTCGTGAAACGCAAAATAATTGTTGTTCGTGAACTTATGACCCATGATAGTCTATTCTGTGGACAATTATAGACCACATCGGTCGACCACATCTTAGTCACTTTTGGGAAAATATGTAGTTTTCGCGATCGCAACATAGTCACTTTCTAATTTTACGAACTTGCCAATTTTTTAGATTGAATGAAGAACGCTTTACTTTTCCTCTACAGTACAAACATTCTGGTACGGTCTGGTACGTTTGCTAACCGTAAATATGAAGAACTTTTTTACCCCCAAAAATCTGAAAATGTGCGACCCCATTCTAGTAACTCTGTTAACAATGCGACCCCATTATAGTCAATCCAGTCGTGAAAATGCGACGCCATCCAGCGGCACATCCCAATTAGCCTCTTAGAACGAAGTACCCCCCCCCCCTCCCCACCGGGCCCACCCCCGGGCGTCTAACGCATCTTTGCACATTAACGTGCAGCCTGTAAGGCCTTTAGGTGTTTTTCACTCGGGCTGGTCTTCTTCTTCTATTGATAGAAGAAGAAGACGCAAAACTATCTCTATCTCAGACTAACTAACTCTATCGCAAAACCAAGAACCCTTTCGAACCAAACGTCTGTTTAAATAAAGGTGTTTAGGTGCTGTAATACCTCATGAAACTCAGAATCTCAGAAGAATCGATAGTTTCTTAATTTGAATTTTGATGACGTCATGTGAAAACCGAGAATTGAACGGTTTTGATTTTGATCTATTTTGAGTGGCGTGACACTGAAAACCAGCAGTAGCAGACTATCATTATCACGGCAAATCTTGCATAAATCAACGTTCCTCCTGCAGGTAATATCGCAGAAAACAAAGGTGATAATAAAATCACAGACCCCGACATGGAGTCATTTTGAGAATATTGTGAACTTTACAGTTGACTGTAATGATTGTGTGATTAGCGCGTGGTCACACTGTTTAAACACTCTCGCAGGAATACTGTTACTAAGGCCTGGTTCAGACGCCGTGCTTTTCATGTGCCGAACCTAACTGAATAAGTTCGACTTTGGAGCGACACTGGCGCGACATGTGATTCAGACGGCGTACCGTGTGTCGAACCTAAGTTAAGTTTGACAAAAGTTCGACAGACTCTGTCGAACTTAACGCTTTTGCCGCACCAAACTAAAACTGCCGTACCAAATTGATTCAGACGCCGCTCTTTTGCCGTACTTAATTCATCAGTTAGGTTCGGCACATGAGTGGAGCGGCGTCTGAACCGGGCCT